GGCCCTTTTTCCGATCATTGGGCTTTTTACAAAGAAGTTTAAGAATAGCCAAAGCTATTGGCAAGCGAAAGGCCAGGAAGATTGAGCTGAGGAAGTTTTCCCCATTATGAGAATGCACCTGCTCATTCTCTGGACAGCAAGAGCTGCTCTGGGTCTCACTTTACCCCTTCCACTCTACAGCCAGCCCTGCTCTTGCCTCTTCATCTTTCTTTTGGTTCCCCAAACTCAATGAACACTGAAAAGAAACAAGTTTTAACTCCCTTGAGGATGTCAAAACTGCTGTGTTGGTGTGATACAAAGAGCCCAGAATTCTTTAGAGAAAGATTAGAGACATGGAAGAAATGCTTCCAGAAGTATAAAGACTTAGATTGAAGATATGTTGAGAACTAATAGCTTTGCATTTGGATATTTTGTTTAATAAAGATTTCTATAATTTTATAGCAATACTCTTGACTTACTCTGAACCAGTAGAACAGCTGATTAACAAAGAGTGTTGCTAGAATTAATTGGATACATGCTTTTAAAAAAAATTCTATGCATAGACAACCATTAGTAAAAATAAGTTTATTAAATTTCTTTTTCACAGATAAATGAGCTTTGAGCACATGTATCAGAATTCTAACTAAACACATAACCACACAAAACCTAAAACTCTGATTTATAATATTTTACCTACGTGAGTAAATCTTATAAACAATATCAAGTAAATCCCTTTAAATGCTCAGTGTTTAGATTTAGAAATGATTACAAATATGGAAAAAAGCCCATCGATTAAAATACAATATTTTATTTGGTTTCTCACCTAAAAAACAAGCAACCCAGAATTAAGATATACATAAGCTTCTCAAATTTATCCCTAATAAAATTTGAATATTATACAATTTCTACAGAAACATACAGTGTATCAAAATCTGCATAAATCAAATTTATAAAATGTAAGAAATGCATAGTGATATTATCAACTTACAAAGCAAGGATATGGGAATTATTTTCAAAGCAGCCTACAGTAGAAAATAGTCATTATGGCAGCCGCTTATTTTTTTGTGTGTTTGGTAAGTTTTCTGGTTTCTTTCCATAGATGATTTTCTTTTAATGAACTGCACAAAATGCCCATTTAAAATTCACATAGTTAATGTGCCACCTTTTTTAGCTAGGCCTCTGCATAGTTAGCAAGTTTAATGACCTGTTCAACGTGGACAATGACACGTATTTGCAAACACACAAGTAATCAACATACCAATTCTCTTAATTTCTTTTTTATAGTTGATTTATTTTGCAATTCTATAAGTGTATAAATGTATTCCTTTTAAATATCCAGAGAGTTGAATGAAAGTTAAAATGGTTGATCACAGATTAGTAGCAAAATACAAATTGGCATTTCAAAAATTATAAATAAAATTCAGTTGTTTAGGGTGCTTACCCCTAGGCTTGACTCTCTGTATTTAGAAACTAAGCTTAGACGAAAGAAATTTGTAGACTATTCTTTGAAACAAGTGTAGTTTTCTTCTTTTCTTTTTTCAGGTTTTAATTAAAAATGTTTTCCTCTGGCAGTAGTTTGTGAATTCATTTCATTGTAGTATCATTATCACAAGATAAGAAATGATTAATTTACTCGCCATTTCCCCTTACCTTCCCCCTACTCCCAACATTCATAAATTCTGTATTTTAAATCTTTTGGTTAATATAAGACAATATAGACATTAAATCTAACTGACTGTTCAATATTTGGTTCTCTTTGAGTAGGTATGTTTTGACAAAATTTTTAAGTCCAAATAAGTTCTTTTCTCTGAAAAATACTAATAAAAACACACTTCCTAAAAAGGACAAATTATACACTAGGAATTAACACCCGATCTAACTGAAAATGATTCATATTGTTAACAAACACTATTTGTAGATAACCTTATCTTTTTACTTGAAAAATATTTTAAAAAGAAAAACATGCAGGGGATTTCATTTGGATGAAGATATAAATGAAACATTAATTCACTCTTGGCTTCAAAGATTGCTTAGGGTAAAATGCCAGGGGTTTTCTAAGACTTGCTATAACAAGGGCTTGGAAATTCTGACTAGGTCAGCATGAAGTTTAGACATGTTTACAATGGTGTTTTCTTTAAACTGATAATTCATCAAGCTGATAATTATGTGTAGTTTTCTAAAATGACAGGTACTAAGGAAAAAGAAATCCCAGATGTCAGTGGACAATTTTTCTCAATGCTGGAATAACCCTTGGCTATCTGAGGCATTGGTAACAATGGGAGACATTGGTAATGCCAGGAGGTGAGGGCGTTAGTGCCTCACATTCTCCAAACCCAGTAGCCTTCGAATGGCCCATGCTATCATATAACATTCAACTTTAGAGTAAATGGTAGCACATAAATTCATTTCCAAGTCGTAAAAGTATTCCTCATACAGGCGACAAGTCCATTGTAACCAACCTCATAGATTTCATCAAAGGCTCTTGAAATATACACCGAGAAATGAAAGAGGCACTAAATGTGTGGAAATTCACCTTTCAAAAAAGCAGCATGACTGTGAAGGAAGGCCACCTTGGCTAATAACCTGTGGCAGTGCTTCAAAAGATGTCAATTTAAATAAAGACACGACAGGTTGATAATCACCAAGTAATAGATGAAATTCGGTTATGTCAACCTTTTTTCAAGTGTATTAAAAAAAATTTTTTTTTAAAGATAACAAAACAAACTGCCTTTCAGACCCCTGAGTGTAATCCCAAAGAAGACAAGTGCTTTCAACCCTGTCTTAATAAAACAGAGCTAAATGCACATATTACCAATATCATCTTAAGACAAGACAGAACAAAAAAGATGTAAACATCTACAGAGTTTAAGGTAAAAGCAGTTTTGTAAACAGTAACTGCAGATGATAAATGTTATTGTAAAATCACAGTTTATCAATGTCTTTCAAACTGATCAGGAGGTTCGGGGTGTGGATCTGCACAGGATTAATAACAGTTGCAGCAGGTTTCAGGCGGTTTCAGTCCTGTACAAATTGATGTGTCAGTAGGTAGGTTATTGTTTTCTCTCTTCTTCCTAGACAGTATGGATGTTGTTCATTTCCCATGTTTGCGTTGCTTTACTGGAGTCACATTTGGAGATAAACACTTGATGGAGGACCTCTGAGCGGTCTAAGCACTTGCCTGAAGGAATGTGCGTAAACTTGTGCAGGGTCTGTAAAACACAGGAAGGGAAACAGAGTTCAAAATGTGGACCGACATTAGAAGCCATACGGAAATGATTTAAGCCAATTGGATGGGTTTAAAGGAACCATACTTCACTCTTTGAATTTCTGTGGTTAGTATCCCAATTCCTTTTATTGTTCAATCAAAATGTAATACTCAGTCTTCAAATTCAAAGGATGTAAACGCAAATTCATCATCTTCCACTGTAAACCCACTTCTCTAGTTCCTGTCTTGGCTAATGCTAATACAATTTCCTCATTGTTAGGATAAAAGGACGCACTCTATACTTTCCTTCATTCCACCAATCACTGACTCTGGTTCCCTTCCCATTCCCACTGCAGATGGCTTTGTTGACCCTTCCTTCATCGTTGGTGTGGTTTCTTCAGTGTAGACCAGTGGCTCTCAAAACCTGGTCCTTGGGCTTCTGGGGTTATCTCTGATCTTTTTGAGAGTTGGTAGAGTAAAAATCACTTTCATAATAAAACAAAGATTTTGCCCTTTTAACTGGCTTTCTCCTTAGGGCGGAAGAGCAATGCAATGGTGAGTCAACGTGCGGGGATGGAGCAGGAATCCAGGCAATAGTGAGGCAGCAGTACCCGCTGTGCTGATGGTTAAAAAAGAGAAAGCGCCGATTGCACTTAGGAATATCCTTGGATGGATAAGAAAAAAAATGACTAATTTTATTAAATTGTGGCCCTTGACTATACTTTAAAAATATTACTCTATGAGAAGAAATGGGAACTATGCATAATGTACTTCTGCTGCCTAGTGAAGTAGGATGGTTATCAACAGGAAAAGCACTTGTAGGACTGGGTTGGGGATGGATTAGCTATTCTTTTCCCTGGGACACCACTTTGACATGAAATAACAACATGAATATAGACAAATAATTATTCAGATTTGGATTATTCAGACATTCCTGTCATCAAGAAAAATGAAAATCAATAGTCCCAAAATATTTTTTTTCAAGCAGGAGTTTGAAAAACTAGTATCACCATGGACATGACAGCTTTATCAAAGTTACAGACTTTTCTTTTGGGACCTGTGGTTATATTTGAATGTGATTTTTGATATTCTAAAAAAGGATACGTGTCAACATTTCAAAGACCTACATAACTCAAAACCATACTGTATATACTCGAGTATAAGCCGACCCAAATATCAGTTGAGGCACCTAATTTTACCACAAAAACTGCACTAAAAAAGGGCTGAAAAAACCTGGCTTATACACGAGTACATATGGTAACAACTACATAACCAATATTTTCCAAGTGAACAATGCATGATGTTATAAAAACACACTGGTAAAAAAAAATCCATTCAAAGTCTAAGAGAGATGAATGAATTTTAATAAGATAGACATGATTATGCTCACTGATCTGACTTCAGAGTCCAACTTGCAAATAACACTGCACACGTATAATGAGGTTATTGTTACTTTTACATGAGTTTAAGACATGATGGCAATGAGTTTGGCTAATACATAAAGACTCAGCATTTCTGAACTACTGATAGTTATAACCCATATAAACAAAGACTGTCTGGGGGCTGATGTGCAGGGAGGGTTCTCAGCCACTCGCAGGAGTGTTTAAGGGTTCAGAGACCCACACGTTTGAGAGCTGCGGCTCCAGCTGATCTTGCTTTCTAGTTCTTATTTCCTAAAACATCAGTTGTTTGCTGTCACTGCCTTCCAAATGCCAGTTACTCTTCAAAACCTAAAAATGAAGCTCCGTGCTCTTTCAGGTGGTGTGCACATCAGGGAAACAAAACTAACCATAATTCCTAGAATTTCACACTTTTAAGCCACGTTTCTGTTCATCCAGTTTTCATATTTACCTTTCCTGGAAAGTCCCTTTTTTTCAAGTGATCACAGGGATTTTTAAGACAATCATTTACACGAACGTGAATGGTGGCAGTGTACCACAATTCTGTGGGAGACCAGTTGCTGACCTCACATGTTTACCCCACGTATGTCAGAGTCAAACTGAGCTCCATAGGCTGTTCAGTGGCTGATTTGTGGGGGGGAGATCACCAGGCCTTTCTTCCAAGGTGCCTCTGATTAAACCCTTTTCATTGGGTTAGCAGCCAAATGCATTAAACACTCGCACTACTCAGGAACTCCTGGTTACTGTTCGGGGTGGAAATAATGGGTGGGTTTTTGTTTGTTTGTTTTAAATTATTTTATTGGGGGCTCATACAATTCTTATCACAATCCATACATACATCCATTGTATCAAGCACATATGTACATTTGTTGCCCTCATCATTCTCAATACATTTAGCCCTTCTACTTTAGCCTTAAATATCAGCTGCTCCTTTCCCCCCTCCCTCCCCACTCCCTCCCCCCGAAAGTCTTTTTATACCTCAATACATGGTGCAGTGATGTAACCCTCATGAAATTCATAAAACATAATTCTTCTCTTGCTTTTTAAGGTATTTTGCTTATTTTTATTTCTAAGTTTTTTCTTCTCTGCTATTTTAGTATAATAAGTTTAAGCAACTTTTGAATCACTCATTACTGGAATTCACTGAATATTTAATAATTTCTAATGTTTACATATACATATAGCCAGTGTGGTATCCTTTAAATATCTAAAATGTTCATTTTACGTATGGCTTCTTGATGGCAATTTCTGCTATTCTTTTGCTAATTATTTATTTTTCTTTGTGAAAACAAGTGCTTTTGTCTGACCGGTTTATGTGAATGTCCTCTTTCCTAATTTTCTACTCACTGCCATGTAGGGGATATGGACTCACGGTGACCCTAGAGGGCAGGACGGAACTGCCCCTGTGAGTTCCCAAGAGTGCAACTCTACACTGGAGCAGCCAGCCGTCTTTCTCCCATGTTGTGGCTGGTGGTTCCAAACTGCTGACCTTGCAGACGGACCTCACGTATACCCACTCTGACACCCCGGCTCCTTTAACTTATTAGAAGGAAAAAAACAAAACCCAGCAGCTCGCATGTGTTTATGACTTGAAAGTTAATTATTCCTGAATGATGGTAACTCGGAATACGGTCACAAGATCATTACTACATAGCTTACATAACAGATAGTGTATGAAAGCACAGATGAATAAACAAAATTGAGGCTTGCCAGTCTTAGTTTGGGGCGGGTTTCCTAACTTTTTGTTTCCTCCGTCGAGGCTTTTGGAAATGATGCATTAATAGATTGGATTCCTCCATTTGCCACCGAACTTTCCGTACTCACGCCTGAAAGGGAGAAACTACCCTAATAGCCAGTGCCAACTGAAAAAGTAAATTTCATCATTAGAGCAAAGGCCACCATTTCCCCGTTTTATTTCTAAAACAATGCTAAGGAAATTGTGGAGGCCTCCAGCGCCAACATTTCCATTTGTTTGTCTCTACCGCCACCTGCTGGGTGGACATGAAGCAGCAACCAAGGGCTTTCATGGCATCCATAGGGAGACTTCTTAAAGGAATCACTTTCTGGCATCCATCCGGAGGCTTCTAAGGAATCACTCACTTAGATTTTAAAACTTGGATTTTGACACTGAAACGGTGATGATGAACGTCTCACCAAACTCTGATGTTCCTGTGTGACTGAAATTAGCAGAAGGCCTTCCTGGACACCGCTATGACATTATATGACGATATTGCACCAGAGAATAAAAAGCGTTATGGAATAATGTGCTAGGAGAACCCATACAAATAACTAAATGAAAGGAAAATGCAAGTCAACTCGAATGTAAGTTTTATGATTTATTCATCTAAATTCTACCTGCTAGGTGTTTTTGAAAAGAAAATAGCATATAATATTATTTCAGAAGTTGAAATGCAGAATACCTTAAAGTACTGCCATTCCTTAAACTCATTTAGATTACAGTGTGTAATCATAACTTTTGATCCATCAGGGCCCTTTGTCAAACATTGGTCGTACTGCATGAGCTGATTAGCTTCATTGATTCGGAAAAGCTATAAAAAAAAACAAAACAAAACAAAACAGGCATCTTCTCTATTAATACACATACAAAAGAAACATAGTTCCTAGAAATGAGATCAATTAATGCACTTATTTTTCTGGTGTTGAGAATTTTTACGTTTAGAGATAGAAGGTATACTTGATGGTAAGGAAGACCATTCTTTTTGTTTTTAATCATTTCACGGGGCTCCTAGAGCTCTTATAATAATCCATACATCAATTGTATCGAGCACATTTGTACATATGTTGCTATCACTATTTTCCAAACATTTCCTTTCTATCTGAGCCCTTGGTATCAGCTCCTCTTTTTTCCCTCCCTTCACCCACCCGCCCACCCTCACGATCGCTTGATAAAGGGAAGACCTTAACTTCTTGGATAGCAAATAGGTTAATTAGTTCATATTTTTGTGTATTAACTGGGAAAAAAAGAAAAAGTAGAATTTGGTCTGATAATAGTTTCACAATGTAAATTAGAGGCAAGAAATACATTTACATAAAGGATTTTCAAAAAGTTTGTGGAAAATTCCATTATATGATAATTCCATTTTTTAACAAACTTTTTGAAGTCTTTGCATATTAGTGAAATATACATTATGGAAACATTATAGTATATTGAAAAAATCTTGCGGAGTACTGAACATTATTTGCCAAAAAATTTTCAGGGAGTTAGACTTACACAGTTATGGCAGTGACAGAAATATATGCCCTGACAAGAATATATGTTAATTTTTTAATGATAGATAATTCTAGATTCTAATAGCCTCTGTGAAAACCAGTGTTGTTACCTCCTTCAATTAAGTGAATGTTTTAGCACTGTTAATTTCCACAGAATATTTCACTTTATCCAAACGAACCAAATTAAGAAATTAAAACTCTATGATCAGCAAGCCTGGTGGCTCTTAGTGCAGACCAGTTGAAATTCAGAAGGAAGGTTACTTACCTGGTTACCTCCCATCCTGTGGCAGGGGCCCAGTTCAACAATGCCTCCGTTTGTTTTCCCCATACTATCAATGCAGTAAGCAGTTTCAAAACCTCTGATCTGAAAAATGAACAAAGAACCAAAAGTCGGGCAACAATTGAGATTTTAATGATTGCAACAGTCTTAGAAGAAATACACCAGAAGGCTCCTTAGAAGCGAGGATTTAGAGAAAGTGTGATCTTGAAGGGTGCTGAAGTCTTTGCTTAGTGAAACGGGTAAAAGGCTGCAGTGTAAGGGAGCAGCTTGAGTGTCTTTTGTTGGTGTTTCCTTTATTCCCAAACTCTCAATGTTGGGCTTCCTTAAAGGTGGGTTCTGAACGCTCTTCTTTATCGCCATTTTCCCTTTAGTTGACCATTTAGTCCCATAAGACAATCTACCTGTTGATGGTCCCATGTATATCTTGAAGGTGACTTTAAGCTTCAGAATTGGGCAGCCTGCCATCTACCCCAAAAGTATCCAACAGGCACGTAGGGGCTCAGAATACCAAGGGAGACCTTGCAATTCCCCACCCCGCATCGTTTTCCCCATCCCAAGAGCCATCTAATCAAACACTCAAAAAAAAAAATTGGTTTACTCTCATCCCTTTACCCGCACATGCCAGTCCATCAGTGAGACCTTCTGGATCTACCTCCCAGTGAACTACGTAAATTCACCGTTTCTGCTCCTCTCCACCTCTACTCTTGCCATGTCAGTCCAAGCCATTATCAGCTTTTCATGGAACTACCCCAACCTGTTGCCGCTGGTTTGCTTCTGACTCCTGCATGTACCACGAGTCAGAGAGCAGAACTGTCCATGGGGCTCTCGGCTGTTACCTTCACAGAAACAGATTGTGAAGCCTTTTTCCATGATGACTCCAGGAGGGGTCAAACCACCAATCTTTATGTTTGTAGTCGAATACAAACTTTTGTGCCACCCACGGGCCTGGGCGACCCTAAGAGTTTCCTAATTGGCGTTCTGGTTTCAACTCTAAATCCTCAAAACATGGTGATTAAAAACAAAATTATAAATCGACATGGTACCTTTTTGTTTAAAACCCTCCCACATCTTCCCATCACCTCTGGGACAGAGGCCTCCCTCCTCACCATGGCCTTCAAGCCTGGCCTGGGCCTGCCTCTCCAGTTTCTTGTTTTCTGGGCAGCACTTCTTGACTCAGAACTTTCACCTCTCTTTGCTTGGAACACCCTTGCCGGCTCATACCATTGAGAGTCAGGGAGGCCTCACCTTCTCAGGGAGGCCTTCTCGACTCTGTCCTGGAGTCCTCCTACCCACAGGGTTACTTTTCCTAACACAGTCCTTGCTGCCATCTGCCATTATCTTCTTGTTTTCCTGACTATTTTTGTCTTTCTCCCTACCAACCCTAAGTAGAATGAGAGTTGCCAAAGGAAAAAGGACTTTGCTTGTTTTCTTTTCTCTAAAAGAGTGGCATACGGTAGGTCTTCAACAAATGTTTGTTCAATAAATAATTAAGAAAAAGCATAGAGATTTGAAAGGTCAGGGTGCATTTTATGATACCTCTAAGAGAGTAGCATAAGGCATGTGGGTAGATGTAATTAGAATCCAGGTTACAAAGGCAGATTTGAAGATATAAAATTGCAGTACAGATTAATGTCTCTTTTTTTTCTTTCTGTTATCGGTTACTTTTAGTTTCTGTATTTTCAGTTTGAGTGCCTCTTACAGATGGGTGTCTGAACTAGTCTATGGGGACCCAGTGGTGACCACAATCCAGAACAGCTTACAGACTGGTGAGGTGACAGCTATTTGAGGTCCTAGGAGAACACATGGAATGAACATAGGAGTGTATCTTTTCCAGAGAGTGGGAAAGAATAAGACAGGCTTTTCAGTATTGTGATCTTTACATTGAGAGCAGTAGGTTACATTGGAATTAGTCAAGAACGATAGTGTAGTACAGGGAAGGGAATGAACGGTGTTCCATACTGGTGCAAAAGTTAGGAGGGAGAACGTATAGCTCATAAAAACCTGTAGGAAGAATGGGTGATTGAGTGGTGGGGGTAGTTGAAATTAACCAGTTAAAAACAGATCTGGGAAGTTATCAGACCATTCCTCCCCATGATTTCCATCAAGAATTTTCTTCTTTCAAATTAGATGGTGCCCGACTATCAGATCAAATAGCATCTGGGGTCTTAAAGGAGTGTTTTCAAACAGGCAGCCATTTAAGTGAGATGTCAACTAAGTCCACATGGAAGAAGCACACCTTTATCAGTCACCGAAGGATTATAAATCTATAATCTGATATAGGAGGGACCAGTATCAGAGCCTACACTGTGAGAATCCGGTCTGCAGAAGGCTATGGATGACAGTGGGAGCCCAAGATATGTTTGTGGTAACTACACTGGAAATGAACCTCCGGTGATTCTCCTCTATCCAGAATATAGGGATGGGAGGAAAGTGATTACTAAACAGAGGGCATTGGAGAGATGACTACACAAGACCAAAAGGATGAACCTGACGTGAACAGTTAAAACCTTGTCAGTTGACACCCCGTCGGTCCCCCTGATGCACATTAGGCCTGATCTAGTTTTCAACATTTTCTGTAGTTTTTTGTTTGTTCATATTGGGGTTCATTTCAGATGGGTTATATCATTGGAGGTCACTCTTGAGTTTTTGCTATATTTTTCTGTTTTTCAGTATATGAAACCCAAGATGATGAACCTAGAGAGACACCAAGTAGAATAAGGGCTTTTCTGGAGGGTGGTGGTGCAGTGGTGGTGGTAGGGTGTCTGTGTATAAAAGGAAGCGGATGTCAAGGAGTTCAGGAAGAAAAAGAATGTTTCGAAACATGGTAGCAAGTGCACAATACTAGTTGATGTGAATGAATGATGGAATGATGAAGATGTCTGGATTAACTTCCAATACAATGGTTTTGAAAATAAGAAAGAATTTTCTTCTCTCATATATAATTTTCACTTCTCACTGCCTTTTAGCAAACTCACACACTTTGAGCCCTGAATATCAGTCTGTACTTACCTCTCCCCAGTCCACATTTTTGGGTGGCAGAGGGTAATGTGAGGTGATATCATAAGCTATTTCTTCCATGAACCATTTAAAACTCTTGCAGTTGTGATCTTCTCGGAACTTTTTCAGCTCAGATATATCTCCGTATGGTAATGCCTTTGATTCCGGACGGCTGGCATAGAAGTAGTCTTTGTATTCATCCCACCAAACCTCTACAACTCTAACATAATTCTGTGAACAAAGAAGTTAAAATCAACAATAAGAATGTGTAATTATCATAACTTGCCCAGTGTTGTGCATGCTACAGTGAAAAGCCTCCAGGCCATCAAGTCACGTCCTCCTCGCCGGTGCGACAGAGCACAGCGAGCGGCCCTGGGGGGATTCCCGGACTTGCGATCTTCCCAGGAGTGGATGCTTCCATCTTTCTCCAGAGGAGCAACGGGGGTGGTTGACCTTGGGGATGGCAGCTGGGTGAGTCCCCCCTCCGCCACCAGAGCTCCTCAGACAAACCACCTGAGATGTGCGGAAGGTGTAACCAACACAAGCCATTTAATTTCAGTGGGGCCTGGGACTGAGTTAAGCAAGAAATACGAGTGAGCTAATGACTTTAATATGTCACTTGCCAAGGGTAATTATGCTATGAATATGCAACCAAAAAAGAGTAATATCTACAGATCTGCAATGACTGAACTGGAAGATCATGTAAGATCCTATATTCTATCCTTCATATCGAGGACGAAATTAAAGACCAGAGAAGGGTTATAAAGGCCCAGCTGGACACTGCTTCTGCTTTCAGACTGCTCTCTTTCTAACAGAACAACACACTACTTGCATTCATAGTAGAATCGCATTTCAGGTTAAAATTTCATGTCAGAAGCCACTAGGAAAAATAACAGCCTTGATATATATATATATATATATGTTAAGTGGCACTATTGATTTTGTTACAACTATATGAGAACCATTTTATTATAAATCAGAATTAACAGGATCATTTCCCCAGTTGAACAACTAAAAACACAAAACTTACAAAGTGATAAATGACAAAGCTGCACCACTGAAGGTTTTGCTGCATGAATGGATACATGCATGAATGGACTATATCTAGAATGAGCACACGTGCAATCTATTCCCTCGACCACTGCTGGCACCACAGACAGATCGTACATATTTTTTTGGCTTTGTGGGACATATGGTCTCTGTCACAACTATGCAACTCTGGTGTTGTAGTGAGAAGACGTCCGTAAATACAATAGAAACATATGCGTGTGGCTGTGCTCCAACACAACATTGGAAGGGGCCAAATGTGACCTGGGGCAATTGTTCACTGAGGCCTGTTCTCCCTCACCATAATCCAGATTAAGTTCTCTCTAGGCTAGAAGAGAGCTGTCAATGGGTAAGCACACTATTGCCAAAGTCCTTGGGTTCAAAAGAAGTTTTTAAGAAGCAGTACTTCAGGAGATCATATGGTATTATTGCTAAATATTTTGAATCCATATTAGTGCCTGGATGTAGAGAACAACTACATGATCCATGTCTAGATACTCAAGAACACAAAGATTCACGCACACATATGCGGTTAAGCTGACCAAAAAGGACACTGAATTGTTAGAGGTCAAGAAAGCCAGAGGGGCATATGGAAGAGATCTGTTTGGCTCAGTGTTAACTCACTCCCTACCATCGAGCTCAGTGTTAACTCACTCCCTACCATCGAGCTCAGTGTTAACTCACTCCCTACACTGAGTCACATGGCCCTGCAGGTCAGGGGAGCACTGCTCCTATGTTTCTGAGATGGTGACTCTTTACAGAAGGAGAAAGCTTTGTCTTTCTCCCTCATGACTGCTGACCTTGCAACTAGCAGCTTAACACATGAGCACTCTGCCACAGGGCTCCTGCTTTGTCTTGAAAGAGTGTTTCATTAGGTGGGGAAGGTATTCAGGTCAAATTGAAAAGCAAATGACAGATCATGGTACACTTGGAGGCCTGGCAAGTCATTCACAGTCAGTGGAATGCAGGATTCACCGAGCAATGTGCTTTAGTTTCCTGAGTGTCAGATAGAAAAGTGAGAGTCCTTCTCTCACAGTGTGTGAGAGACACACTGTGTCTTGCTAATTGTGACAATGAAGGTAAACATCTGTGTAAAGCATGTATTTATATTTGTACATAGCAATCATCCAATAGCTGTTTGCTATTATTATTAAATGATATTTTAAGAACTTTGAATTTTATGCTTAAGATGGGAAAAAGCAAGCAACTGACATTGATTTAATTTTCAGAAGAAAAAGGCTATGTTAAATGGAAGGGGAACAAATTTGATGGCAGAGAGCCAAGTGGGAGGCTATTTAATACCCATGGGAGAGAGCTGAGAGCCTTGAACAAGTATAGGAAAGGAGAGAGTTAAGAGACAGGCATGAGGTAGAATCCCCAGGGATTGGGCACGGGGATAGACAATACAGGAAAAGAAGTAGCTTTGGTGGGAAAATAGTAAAAGTGCAGCTTAGACTATGTACTGTATGAACCATATGAGAGAGCTCTAACCGAAAAGTTCTAGCAGAAAATTGGCTACAGAAGCCTGAAACTCGAAGGAGACAAACAAGCTGGAGAAAGACAATGGTAGCTGGGCACATGAGTGGTGGAAGCAGCTGATGCTCCGACTGGAGAAAAACAAGGTCCCAGACACACCCTGCAGTGCCTGCTGAGCACTGCATTCATTGGCTAGATGTGATGACGTTGTTGTTAGGTGCCATTGAGCCAGTTCTGACTCATAGTGACGCTATGTACAAGAGAACGAACCACTGCCCAAGCTTCTGCCATCCTCCCATTTATTGTCATGATATTAGGACAGCTGCACCTATTTTTTTTTTCTTAGTGGGTAAGAATTTCCCTCTCATTTCTTTTCCTTTTTTTTTCCTGGATGAAATCCTCTTGAACCAATTTGATTTTTTATTGGTAACTCCTTATTGTCCAAGAGGAGGATTTTCCTGCCCTTCCAGTAGGTCCTTGTGTGACTTCGGTGCCGTCTTGGATGTTTGCATCTTTCCCCTGCAGCCGAGACTTCGTTTGATCATCTCCAATGTAATTCGGCCAGATGGAAAGCTGTGTTGGCTTTCAAAACCTTGCTGACTTATCTCTGTCTCTCTTATCAACTGCCCCCAGTTGCATGTGTGCCCATAGGAACTTCTTCCTTTTGCTTTCATTACATTGAATCCCAGAAATTGACGAGCACCAGAATGGCATGCCTCTCCAAATTTATGAAAGTGGAACAAGAGCCACCTCACAATAGCTTGGCCAGAGAGAAAAGCCCTTGTCCTCCCAGCAATGGGCTATCTCAGCTTCGTGAACCTTTACTGGTTTGGTTCAGAACCGAGAAACCCTAACATGGCTGGAAAATGACCAGATCAACAGTATATCTATCTTCATGACTACATTATGTCTTCAACTACCCTCCCCAGTTAAAAATTCCCTTTCTCTCGGAAGAAGATGACTTCCTAAAACTCTCATTTTAGGAAGGATACAGAGAGAACAGAATGGTATGGGAACAAGTGTAGGAGACACTGGAATTATTATGACACTTTCTGGTAACTGTGACTGGGGAAGAGGGCTGGAAGGGTCCTTACCTACCACAGTCCTGTTTGCAGATACCTTTCTAAAGATAAGTTAACCCAGTTATGACAGGTCAGAGATGTCTTAAGTGGTGGCACATCTACTGGTCTTTCAATTCCTTCAGTCTTGTGATGGCGGACTTGACTGTGACTGCAGTCACCAGCGACTGTTTTCATGCAGAAACCACAGTGCCAGATCCCCACAGCTCGGCTCTTCTTTTTGGCTGTGCGGCAGAAGGAGTAAGTGTGTTGGGGCATGTTGGCGGATTCAGTTTTCTTCACTATTTTCCTGAGGGAGGCACCATAACAGATGCTTTATTTACCCACGATCCCAACCTTCTTGGCGTATTTGGCCATCAAGCCCCAAATACGTTTCAAGCACCGAGAGCAAGGACATTCGCCATTTTACTGAAAAAGGTTCCACTATCTTTTCAGGTCCATGAGCTTTGATAAGTACATATTACCCATCTTAGTGATGCATCTATGGACCAGTAGATGTGATTTTGATTAATACATTAATTATACTGAAATACTATGCATTACAATAAAACAATTTGGTTGTCTCTAAATAGCGGTTACATGTTGGGCTACTAACTGCAAGGTCAGCAGTTCAAAACCACCAGCTTTTCTTTGGGAGAAAGACGAAGCTTTCTACTTCCGTCAAAGCGTTACATTCTCGGAAACCCATAGGGACAGTTTAACTCTTCCCCATAGGGTCACTATGAGTTAGAGTCGACTTGACAGCAGTGCGGTAGAGTGAAAAGTGTTCTAAAGGAAATGTTCATGTCAGAGAGGGGGGAGAAGGGAGAGGCAGATTGCAACAGGACCGGGGATAATCACAAGACTGTTCGTCTTTGAGTTGCAAACAGTATTAACTAAAAGCAACACTCAACAACTTGATTTTTTTCACTAGAAATATTCCTAATATGACTCCCTTCATTTTGTAAAACCTGACAAAATAATATTTTACTCTTGTGAATAGCAAAAGCTGGCTGGTATTTTCTTTCCCACTATTTACATACAGAAGTGTCAGTTCTTCTAAAATTTATTTGAGCTGTTTCCAGGGAAGACATGCAGTATAGACATTCTACTTTCTGCCCTTACAGAAGGGTCTCGGGGAGGAGACGAGCCAGTCAGGGTGCGATGTAGCAACAATGAAACCTAAACTTTCCTCTAGTTCCTAAATGCTCCCTCTTCCCCCACTATCATGATCCGAATTCTACTTTGCAAGACTGGCTAGACCAGAGGATGTACACTGGTACAGATAGGAACTGGAAATACAGGGAATTCAGGACAGATGATCCCTTCAGGACCAGTAGTGTGAGTGGCGATGCTGGGAGGGCAGAGGGAGGGTGGGTTGGAAAGGGGGAACC